GGCGGATAGATGAACGTGGGAAGAGGTGGATATTTATTTCTCCTTGGCTTGGCTTTTGGCATTGTCGGATTGATTTTTAGGATTCTCGGCCCTAAAGTTGTAAATGGATTTATCGCGATGAAGCGGACGGATTAAAATTTGATTTTCGTAATTTCGTCGAGCGTAGAACGAAAGACATTCAGAAGAAAACTTACGAGTCTTTCCAACGTTGGGCCACAATTTTGAAGGCCTCCTTGTGATTTAATTCGGGATTCTCGGTCTTGACTTTGACGAGTTCAGTTTTCATGTACTTGTTATATGGAGAGAGTTTCTTCGCTATGTTCCAATATCGAAAAAGAGAATGGGTAAGCTTTTTTTTTTCTCGGAGAAAAAAAAAAAAAAGCGGCGCGATATAACTTTACCTCCTGTGCTTCTCTTTGCGGTCTTTTCTTTGGCCATTTTTATTGATTTGTGATGAACGGTAGGAAAAAAAGATGCAATTGAATTTCACCAATAAAAAGCAACTGGATTGCTTATACGATAAGATTATTTATTGAAATAAGTGAGAATCGGAAGATGAGGTTGTGAAGAAGAGGATTGAGGTGACCCTTTTATAATGATTTCGAATGGTCGCGTTGATGCGTTGATGTTATTTTGATGCCAAAACTTTTGCGCGATATATGGTGGATCAGGATACACGTGAGGACGTGACTATTTTGATGCGCGAAATCAATCACCTATGAACACGTGTCTCTCGTCGCGTACATGTAGGAATCTCGCGTTGAACGACCAATCAATTAAATGCATAAATAATCTCCGACATAGTTTGCATAGGACGCGAGACACTGTATGACAAAAATAATTTTATATATATTTCGTTTCACGTTGTCCAACGCCAACGGCAAGTCGCACGAATCAAAATCAAAAAAAAAAATTGGAAGCTCAACGCGAACGGTAAATAAGGGCCAACGCGGTTCTGAGTTTATTATGATGTACTACATACACCCTCGTGCTTTTTAAAACGCTTCCAAACAACAACAACAAAACATCGCATAGTTTATCGAGTACACTGAAGAAGTTGGTCACATCAAATTAATTACCCGCTCACTACCGACATCGATGAGGTGGTTCATCTAAAATCCACAATTCACATTGAACTTGTATGATCGTTATTAAAGAGAGATGATTCTCCGTGAATGTTCGTCGACATTTACGTGGATTCTTCCTCGCCAAGGTGAAACGTCCCTTTCCTCACTATCTCCCTTTGTTTCCTGAGCCATTTACGGTAGTCTGCTACAGACTTGATTTTTTCACCATAATAGTCTGGCGCTGGGTTTCGAAGCGAATGTAATGTCGGATCAGCCCTATTCTTCTTTACATGTTCATAGAATTCACGATCGCGCTAAATATGTAATACATATATGTATGTGTGTATTCCATTTACAGAAAACTTAACGTTAGGAATTCTATCTGCTAGAAGTCCGTCGTGATGAAGCAAGCAATTGTTCCAATGCGACGCGATCAGGTCAACAAAAAACTTTTCTCTTGTAGAATATACCAAAACGCTAGTTTTATGTACCTGTTCCATCAATTTCACTTCTTCCCTATGAAAAAATTTCCAAATTGAACTTCCGACAATGGGTCCGAGCAGTAGGCCGGTGAGGCCACATAAAGCGGTACCAGTACCATATATGAGGAAAGGCTCCTGACCGAATATTGGGGTAGGGTCAAATTCTCTGGTGGCAACGTACGCAAGGCTTGCACCAAGACTACCAAGCGCGGAAGGGTAGGTTACAAAACGTTCGGTCATCCTCCGTCGACGCCTCAACGCAAAGTAATCGTTCCAGGTGAGTTTACCATCTTTTGTGAGTTTAATTTTGCTTTTCAATTTATTTTGTTCATTACTTGTGGTGGAATAGGAATATTCAACATCTGAACCCCTATGCGTGAAACACGATGCGCCAACATTGGAACGATTCCGAAGCGAGGAGAGCGCAATTCTCGTTATGAGCATTATCAAGGATGGATTGGCGGATTTCAGAAAGCTGAAAATCGAATGCTTCCAATTCTGACGAGAAGAGAGCAGAAGCCATTACACCGATCCAAAACGTTCTTGGTATAGAATTTTAGATATCGCCGATCATGAGGATTTCTGATTTGGCGAGCCAATCAAAATTTTTAATGTCGTGTAACCATCAACATAACGTGTATGCAGTATCTACATAAATAGCCAAGGCGCAAAAAAAATTTTTTTTTCCTTCTTTTTTATCATTCGCAAATCGCAAATATGGCATTATACAACTTCAAGAGGATTCAGCCGAT